CTAGTGAGTGTCTATCAAGTTTGTACAAATAAAAGCCCTGGGGTCAAAATTGGCCCCGCACCGGGGGTCATTGATTTTCCCTATATGCATATAGTAAAAAAATTATAAAATCTTCTTTTAAAGGAACCCAAAGAGCTAGAGCTAAGATATTTAGCATGAAACATCTTCTAATGGGTGTCTACCAAGTTTGTTCAAATAAAAGCCCTGGGGTCAAAATTGGCCCAGTCCCAGGGGGTCATTGATTTTCCCTAAATGCATAAAGTAAAAACTTAAAATATCTTCTTTTAAAGAACCCAAAGAGCTAGAGCAAAGATATATAGCATGAAACATCTTCTAATGAGTGTCTATCAAGTTTGTTCAAATAAAAGCCCTGGGGTCAAAATTGGCCCTGCCCCAGGGGGTCATTGATTTTCCCTATATGCATATAGTAAAAACTTATAAAATCTTCTTTTAAAGAACCCAAACAGCTAGAGCTAAGATATTTAGCATGAAACATCTTCTAATGGGTGTCTACCAAATTTGTTCAAATAAGAGCCCTGGGGTCAAAATTGGCCCTGCCCCGGGGGTCATTGATTTTCCTTATATGTGTAAATTAGCAAAAACTTTAAAAAAATATTTTCTTTGGAAAACCCAAATAGCTAGAGTTTAGATATTAAGCATGAAACATCTTCTAGTGAGTGTCTACAAAGTTTGTTCAAATAAAAGCCCTTGGGTCAAAATTAGCCCCGCCCTGGGGGTCATTGATTTTATTTATGTGTATAGCAAAAACTTAGCAAAATCTTCTTTGAAAAAAAAATCAAATAGCTAGAGTTTAGATTTTAAGCAAGAAGCATCTTCTAGTGAGTGTCTTCAAAGTTGTTCAAATAAAAGCCCTTGGGTCAAAACTGGCCCCGCCCCGAGGATGTCATTGCTTTTAACTATATTTGTATAGTTAAAACTTAAAAAATCTTTTTTTTTTAAAAAAACTCAACGAGCTAGACCTTAGATGTTTAGCATGAAACATCTTCTAATCGGTGTCTACCAAGTTTGTTCAAATAAAAGCCCTGGGGTTTAAACTGGCCCCGCTCTGGGGGCCTATATACAGGTGAGCGACTTCAGGGCCATCATGGCCCTCTTGTTATTTTTAAAGTTTGTCCGGATACTTCTCCTATACCGCTAATGCAATTTCAATGAAGTTTTTCAGGATTGATAGGTACATGCATATCACACGGGATTTTCTGCTTGAATGATCTTTGCCCCAGTTATGTCCCTTGAATGAAAAGGGTGTTAATAAAGTTTATCCGGAATACTGCTCGTATACCACTAATGCAATGTCAATGAAACTTTACAGGATTGATAAGTAAGTAAAGTACTTGAGCATAATTCACAAGTTTTTCGCTTGAATGATTTTTGGCTGAGTCATTGCCCTTGGATATATAAGGTGTTTTCTATGTTTAGACGCATACCTTTATGCAATAATAGCGCTAATGCACCTTTTTATATCCCGAAACGAAGTTTAAGGGGTATATAGGAGTCACCCGTTGGTCGGTCCAATGGTCCATTGCATTTTCCTTGTCCAGAGCATAACTTGAAGACAAATGGTTGGAATTCAATACAACATTATACAATGGTCAAGCACAATAAGGGGAAGTACAGTGCACAAGAACCATAACTCTATCTAAAGTTATTACAGAGTAATTGCCCTTTGTTAATTTTCCATTGCTTTCTTTTGTCCGGAGCATAACTTGAAGACTAATGATTGGAATTCTATACAACTTCATACAATGGTCAAGCACAATAAGAGGAAGTGCAGTGCACAAAAACAATAACTCCATATTGACTAATTGGAGTAGTGCCCTTTCATACTTTTCCTTGTCCGGAGCATAACTTGAAAAGTACTGGTTGGAATTCAAAACAATTTCATAGAATAGTCAGACACAATAAGAGGAAGTGACTATCACAATTTTATCCAGAGTAATTATAGAGTTATTGCCCTTTGATACTTTTTGTTGTCCAGTGCATAACTTGAAAATTAATGGTTAGAATTCAATGAAACTTCATACAATGGTCAAGGGCAGTGAGATGAATTGCATGTAATTACATAATTATTGCCCTTTGAATGATCTTGAAAAGTAAACAATTTTTTGGAAATAATCTTGATGAGGGATAAAGAGTAATTTCTTCGCAGCCGTATGCGGCTATTCCCTTTTTCAGCTTGGTAAAATAAAAATATATTGGCCTGTTTACTTACCGTGTTGGAAATCCTGTCAGGTATCCGATATTTATTGCACAATTCTGCGTTACTTTTTGCACGAATCTGCGTTATTTTAACATTCCGGCTTTACTTGATATACACGGTGAATGAGAGGAAGTGCAGTGCTCAAGAAGCGTAACTCTTTCTGGACTTAATATAGAGTAATTCAATAAAACTTCATCAATGGTCAACCACAGTTAAAGGAAATGCAACATACAAGAACCAAAACTATCTTTAATTGCCCAAAACCATAACTATTTCAATTCTTTTACAACGTCTTCTGTTACTACTAACTTCCTCATTTCCGAATCAGTCTTGCGGGGGTATTAATCACATTTAGTGATCATACTAAGTGCATTTACATCTGCAGAAACCCTCGGGCTTATAAATTCCCATGTCCTACGGGCTCGCGCTTAAAATGCGTACTTGTACTTCGGATAGAGTATGTTGACCAGGCACCATTGTTGCACTTTTTATGCCACCGCAGCATCTGCGATGCGGTGGCATATAGCAATTCACCTGTGTGTGTGTGTGTGTGTGTGCGTGCGTGCGTGCGTGTGCGTGTGCGTGTGTGTGTGTGTGTGTTTGTTTGTGTGTGTGTGTTATATAGATTATATAGTGAACTTAAAAAATCTTCTTGTGAAAAACCACTAGTCCAATTTCAACCAAACTTGGCAGGATTGATCCTTGGGTGAAGGGCTTCCAAAGTTGTTCAAAGAATTTCATTCCATGCAGAAATCTGGTTGCCATGGCAACCAAAAGGAATTATAAGAATAAATTTAAAAAATCTTTTTGTAAAGACCCAAAAAGACTAGAGCTTAGATATTTTGCATAAGGCATTGTCTGGTAGACCTCTACCAAGATTGTTCAAATCATAGCCCTGGGGTCAAAATCGGCCCGCCCGGGGGGGGGGTCATTGATTTTCACTATATGTACATATAGTAAAAACTTAAAATACCTTCTGTAAAGACCCAAAAGGCCTAGAGCTTAGATATTTTGCATAAGGCATCTGTCTGGTAGACCCTTACCAAGATTGTTCAAATTATAATAGGAATACAGGATCTGGGGTCCAAATCGGGCCCCGCCCCAGGGGTCATTGATTTTTCACTATATGTACATATAGTAAAATCTTAAAATACCTTCTAGTAAAGACCAAAAAAAGCGTAGAAAGCTTAGAATTTTTGCATAAGGCATTGTCTGGTAGACCTCTACCCAGATTGTTCAAATTATAGCCCTGGGGTCAAAAATCGGCCCCCGCCCCGGGGGTCATTGGTTTTCCTTTATATATATATATAGAAAAAACTTATAGTAAAAATTGGACAATTGACAAATGCTAGAGGTTAGATATTTTGCATGAAACATTGTGAAGTGAACTTTCTAGCAAGATTGTTCAATTATAGCCCTAGGGTCAAAATTGCCACGGCCCCGGGGGTCATTGATTTTTCAATATATACATATAGTAAAAAATAAAGAAAATCTTATTGTCTGAAGGTACAAGGGCTTAGAGCTTTAATATTTGTTTAATGATATCATCAATAGATACTCTACCAAAGTTGTTCAAATTTTGCCTCTAGTGTCAAAATAGGTTTTCCTTATATGTGTATAGTAAAAACTTAACAAGAGCTGTCGGTAGGACAGCAAAGCTCGACTATTCTTAGTGCTTGATAGTAAAAAAAATGCTTGATACAGTTACCTCCTCCTGTTTACAGGTTGGGGTCATGATGGTGAACAAGTGTGCGAAGTTTCAAAGCCATATGTCAATGGACTTTGAAAATATTTGAACTATTACAAAAATTTTAACATAAGTGGTTACGCCGACACAGACGCCGACACTGACGCCGACGCTCGGGTGACTACAATAGCTCTACTTATCGAATAGTCGAGCTAAAAAATCATCTTTAAGCTACAGCTTAGATATTTGACTTGAAATGTTGTTTGATAAACCTGTGTCAAGATTGTTTTGAATTAAACCCTTAAATTTTGCCTTCTCCAAGGGGACAGTGACCTACTTTCTTGTCCTTTGATGAACAGCAATGAAATTTTGACCATGTGCATAGTTTTAGTTGTAAAATTGAACTTTGATATCAGTTGACCTAGATTTTGATGATGTGACCTACTTTCTTGTCTATGAAATTTAAACCATGTGCACAAATTAAGATGTAAAGTGAACTTTGATTTTAGCTGACCTAGATTTTGACAAAGTGTCTTACTGTGTTGTCCTTTGATGTAGTCATGAAATTTAGGCTGTGTGAAATATGACCTTTTCCACCAAATTCACTAGACTCAAGTGCATTGATATATTTCTACTCTGATCTTTTATTGAGTTAACAACAGATTTAACCACCAATCTGATAATAAGAATTAGATAGGTCAGAGAACTTTGCATTATGACAATCTTCAAAATTGTATAGGAACAAAAAAATCTGTTCGTACACTACTGTTTAGTGTTGAATTAATGCGGTGGCATAGCATTTTTCTCAAAATGCAATCTTGTTTTTATACGCAATGTAAAAGTAGTTTAATGCAATGACGGCCTTGGTAGCTTTATTAACAAAACATAACAGTCAAATGACGTCTCACTAGTACATAGAAAGTATCGAACAAGCAATGGATTCTTTATACCAAATACAAAATTGATAACGATGGATGTATTTTTCAGTCAAGAATCGCGCCATTGCACCTTTTTGTGTGCATTAACATCTACAGAACCTCAATAACCCTCTTAGTTTTTGTAAAAAAAAAAATATCAGAGTCTTTTTTTTTGCAGGTATTCGACAACAGTCAATTTTGGCACTTGGGTGAGTAGAAAATGATTGCAGATATGAGATTTTTCTTAATCATTACTCGAATATTTTTACATCATTTTCAATTCATCTAAGTTAGTGGGATATATGCAATTCAACCTTAGTTTTTGAATATTCAAGCGCTTATATTAACTTAGATTTTCTTCCTCTCTCATTGCAGTTCCAGAAGAAATTGGTAAAGGTCCTTATGAAATGTGTTACTACCTATCTCTTTTAAAAAATGGAAGTGTACCTGATAGATCTGTAAGAGTCCATATTGTCGGCAATTATGCCCAAGGAAAAACCTCTTTAGTTAAAAGGCTTTTAAAAGCAGAGACAAAGCGTACAACAAGTACAGACGGGATTGATATATTAAAGCTGCGTTCAGCGGATTCATTTCTACAAACAAGAGAGCCTGAAAATCTATCTGAGTCGACAGACGAAAGGGGAACTTTTAGTGTAGAAGGTATGTTTGACAGTGGGAACACGTCAATCAACTATGATCTATGGGATTTCGGCGGGCAGTACGTCTTTTATGCGACACACGCACTTTTTCACAGTAACAGGGCAATATATGTTTTAGTAATGGACTTGACAAAGAAATTCGATACAATCGTACGAGATACAAGTCACCCAAACGAAACGGGAAACAGAAACGTAGAATACTTCATAAAATTTTGGATGAATTCTATTCATTCGTTCGCTGGATCATTAGACGGATTTGAGCCACCAGTAATTCTAGTCGGCACACATATTGATCAAGTTCAAGGATTAAGAACATCTCAACTCAAACACGCTGAAATATTCTTTGAAGATGTGAGGAGTCTCTTTGATGGAACCCAGATTTTGAATCATTTTCATAAAAAAGAATTTGCTGTTAATAATCTCAATCGACATGACATTGTCATAGATGAACTACGAGAAGAGATAATGAAAATTGGACGTTCAAAGGTAAGAAACGTTGAAATACCAACAAGATGGGTATATTTAGATCATAAATTGAAATATGTTACACAAAAAGTGATAACAATTGCAAACATACAAACATTGATATTGGAGTATGATCTTCAAACGATGCCTATAGAGGAACTAAAACTTTTCCTGCAATACCAGCATGCTAAAGGGACCCCTTTTTTATTTTGATAGAGATCCCAATTGCAGAGTACGTCGTGTTAGAGCCGCAATATCTGATTGATGCATTTAAATGTATCATAACTTCGAGAGATTCGCGAACAGATCCTATAACAAGACCTCTCTGGAAAAAATATTTCTACAGGAAAGACTTGACATTTTGTCAAACGTTTGGGGAGGAAAAGGAAGGATTCATTGTGACAAGGACTTCTTTTTTAGAATATACTCAAGAGTCATCATATAATTTCAGAAGCAAAAAAAATATAATGAAGATATTGATAAGCTCGCGGTCTTGGTTGGTTTGTCGTGCCAAGTCTTCTGGGTTCATCGACACAGTCCGAGTTGAATGATTATTTTAACGGACAAAGTTCACCTGTACACGTCAAGATTTGTGCTTGGTTTTTTGAATTTTTTCTGTTGTGAGTTGTTGTTCCACCGGCTTGTTAAGCTGCAGGGGCTTGGGGCGATGGTATATCGCTAATTTTTTTAAAAGGGGGATCTTATGATGTAAGAAAACCTCATTACTTCAGATTAAACATTAACCCACCTTGGCATAACATAGAAAAAAACGGGACAACTTGATAAACTTACGGCATTCAACTTTTTGCCCGGGGACAGGAAGAATAGAAGCACATATAGTTTGATATTTTTTAAAAGTTTCGTAGAAAAATGTTTTTTCCCGCGAAGAATTTTTTTTCTTTGCTTTTTCCTTTAAAAGGGAAACAAAAAGGGGACAATTTACTCTTACTCCCAGGTGAAACCCAAATGCATCCCACGCACTGAAGGGAAAAGCAAACACCTAAAAGAATATATCTCATCTGACCAAAGCATAAAATTTATGCCCTTTGTGGGAAATTTCCCCTGCCCATGAAAAAGAAAACGTAAAATTTGCTATATCCGAGGGGTTTCAAGGGAATTAAAAAAGGGTTTGTAACTTCAAACCAGGGGGTTAAAACAGAAAGGGGCGGGGGGTTCGAATTTGCAAAAGCAATGGGGGAAAAGGGGAACGGCAATTTTGGGGGGGGTTTAAACTTGGGGGGGTGAAAAGGTGTTAAATTGACCACAAAACCCAAAAGACAAGGGAACAGTGTCCCCCGGATGGGGCTTTTAAAAAGATTTTTATTGCAGTGGAAAAAGTGGGGGGATAATTCAACGCTACTAGGAATAACTTTTTTAAAGGGGGTTTTTGAAAAACAGGGTTTTTAAACTAATGGGGAATGGGAGGAAATAAAGAAAATATCGGGGGAAAATGTTTTGAATATGGAAATAGAATGACTTTTAAGTATAAAAATTTAAAGAGTAAAAATTAAAACATGTAATTTAAATATTTTCCGGGAAAGTGAAAACTTTGTGAAATTTTCTTAAAGGTAAAAATCCCTAAATTTATTGACTTAAATTTAAAAGAATTAAAAACAAAATCGATGGCGGTCATTCATAGAAGTAAAATTTAAATTACTTACCGTACTCAAATTAATGCTCCAGTAAAGGGTTTTAAAATACGGGTTATTTTTTTTGATGTAAAATGGGTGTAAATTTGGGGCCCTCTATTTTTTGTACGGAAATATAAGTAAAATTTTTTTTCAATGGCCTTGAAAAATTAAACTAAAAAGCTAAAAAAAACTTTTTTTTAAAATAAAAAAACAAAGACCCCGTAAGTTAATTTAGATATAAACCCAAAAATTTGGGTTTGTCAAAATATGAAAAATGTTTTAAAGAGTTTTTTTGTTTTAAAAATTTAATAAATAAATAAATGGGTAAAAATTTTGAAAAAAGTAAATTTAAAAATTTCTTTTTACTTTTTTTTGGGCAAAGCAACTCCCTTGGGGAGGTAAAGATTTTGCCCTTATGAGTAGGGGGGCTCTAGAGGGGTTTAAAGAAGCTTAAAAATAAAAGTCAAAAAAGCATCCAAAACGTTTTGAAATTTTAAAATAAAAATTCAAGTTAAATTTTTAGAATGGGAAATCTGCTCTGAATATTTCATGAATTTTGGTGGCAATTCCTTAGCGCCCGATTTCAAGTTTAAAAGCGTTGGCAAGAACTTTTCATTTTTTGGGTCTTTTTTGCTAAAGATATAATGTTTTAATTCTTGATAAAAAACGGGGTTAGGGACTAATCTGAAAAAAATTAAACATACAAGTTATTGGTCCTGATCTATCATTCCAAATTTAGTAAAAATATAATGCTTGGGAAAATTTATTTCCAGTCTCTTCTTATGAAAACTCGGTGTTTTCCCTTTTTAAAGTCAAGTGTTTAAATCATAGTTTTTTGGAAAATTTGATTCTTTGTTAAAAAATTAAAAGTTATTGTTCAGAAGGGGTTCGCTTCAAATTTTTTTGTGTATTATCTAGTATGTTTGACCAGCTTTTTTTAAAAACAAAATAAAAAAAATTGTATTCAAGAAAGTAATAAATAAATAAAATAATCAATTATTCTCCTGAAAATGATTCGTTTTAATTAAATACTTCTGTAAAAGCAAGTAATTCTGATGAATCATCAAGGTAAATGAATCCATAAATGAAATAATAAGCCTTTGAAAATACGACAACAAAAACTACAATTCAAATAGCTTAGATATTTGGCATGTAGCATTTCTCACAAAACTGCAATCCCTAGAGCTTAGTTATTTTGCCTTGTTGACCTCTTAAAATTGATATATAAATCATGACCCTGGAGTTAATAGTTGCACAATCCCGGGGGTATAAATCATGACCCTGGGGTTAATAGTTGCCCAATCCCGGGGTCACAATAAAGGAAAACTTCTTTAAGTCTAATCGTATGAAACTAAAATACCCAGGCATGTAGCATTTTCTTATAGGCCTTCACAAAACTGTCCTTGGATCGATAAGCTAGTGTTCCGCCGCAGATGTCACTTAAAGTTATGTAGAATTATATAGAAAAAACATTTAAGTATTATTGTGTGAAACTGCAATGACTAAAGAGCTTAGATATTTAGCTTTCTTTACGTACTGTGCTTAGAGGGTACTCGTGCATCATAACATTGAAAGAGAGGGTACCTGTCATATAAAAGATCAATAAAAAAGAGGTAGTCCGTGCAAAACCGAAAGTAGGGTGTTTTTATGATTTCACAACTATTTTTGACTAATAACTGCCATTGTTCCGAAGATGATACATAAATGAACATATGTTATATGTATGATGCATATATAATCAATCCACTAGTTCATTTAAGCCTGAAAAATATGTCGAGGCAGTGAGTGATGCAAGAAATGTCGACTTTATGTCGACTTTATGTAGCTTATTGTTGGGTTGCAATAATTGAAAAATGGACACACTACAAAAAAGCACATAGATAAAACATTCTTTTGCACATGACATATCTCCTTTCATCAGCTGAAGGAACATTAGCTGGATTGTAATTCATCGAACTTGGTTTGTTTTCAGCAAAGAATAGCCTATGCATGTGCAAAAAGGGTACCGTTTGAGTATATTTCGCAAAGATGGTTTACCAATATGGATATGCACCGTGCTTGTGGAGCTCGGCAAAACTGATACTACTCATGCATCTGGTGTAAATATTGGCCCGCTACGCGGTTGCCTGAATTAATAAGACTTATACAGGAAAATATATTTAATTCTAATTGAGAGAAAACTTAACCCAGTGCTTAGATATTTGGCGTGTAGCATCAGTTTGTAGATTTCTACAAAACCTCCAGGTCAAAATTGGCCTTGACTCGGGAGTCACTTGCTTTATGCAGACAAAGATATAGGAAAACATTTCATCTTTTTGTGGATAACTACCATGCCACTATATTGAGCATATACCATTGTCTAGTAGATCTCTGTAAAAGTTCTAAGAATCATGCCTCTAGGGTAAAACTGCCCAAACCTTGGAGATCATATTGTATTATTAGAATCAGTTTGATGACAACATTTTCAGACAATTTCTTGTTTGGGTCTTATTCCAATTTGAAAGATAAGTTTTATTACTTAATCAAATTTACATTCGGGCGTATATTGCCCTCTTGTTTCGTTTTGTCGCCCTCTTTCTTTTTCGTCTTGTCGTGAAGTCGTGTGCGCGCCCTTCTACCGCGACAGCACAAAATAAAGTAAAAAATCAGAGCACTGATACAATATTTTTCATGCGACAACGAGACGATAAAAAAATCATTTTGTCAACCCATATTCTTAGATTTGGCGTTTTATTGTACTGCCGCCTGTGCGTCCCACCAGTGCAACATAAAATTAAGAAAAAACACAATAATACTTTTATTTTAGATTTGAATACTAACTCTGTAGGAGGTTTAAAGAATTGAAAGAATATTGGTTTCGCAAAAAAAAAATTCATAAATATAAATTTTAAATGTACTTTCGCGCATACCCCAAGGACTGCTTTATCAGAGTTTGTAAATGTATTTTGATTTTAATCGTTCTTAAAAATTATATGATTAAAATTGCCTGACTACAGAACTAACATCGGAACATGTGCTTTTAATATACTCGTAAAATTAACGATTTTCTTTTGAAAATATGTCATCGAGCTGCATGTTGGTGACCGATATATAACCTTTATATCAAAGTGCTAAAATAATTTTTTAAGTGATTTGAAATGATTTAGATATAATACAGCGTTGCGATGGATTTTTGAAAAATGCCATAGCAAACTATTTAAGACATTTTTGGGCAATAAATTTGCCGCACATTTAATTTTTATAATCCAAAAGAAAT